CTGGGAGTCCACAAATAAAGCCTGTTAGATGATAATCTATGAAGTAATTCATGTCTGAGTCTGCAGGAAGCCTGAAAACCATCTCTGATGTAGGCAATGGCTCCATCATCCAGCAGGGTGTTTGCTTTCCTCCTGTTCCTGATGGGAGACTGTGGGTAAGGAAAAGTATGGCGTGTTTGCACCTATTCATTTATTAGCACCTCAGTTCCCTGTGGGTGAAATTGGGTCTCAAAGGAGAATATCATGGTTTTGGGGGGCCTCTGTTATACTTTCACACAGTATTGCCTCCCTCAAATCTCCATTTCTGCTCTTAGGATACTATTTTTTGAGTATCCAGCCAATACTGTGACTGGGATTTATTGCCGGTTCAAGTAGTACCAAACCCTCCTGTGAGGTGTTTTTATATCTGGATGCTGTTTTGAACTACTTTGAATGCAAAGCATCTCTTCAAAGATACAACTGTGGATTGTTTCCCATCTGGAATCCTTACTTTTGATGATTCAGCTGTTGGCTGAAATAACCCAAAATGTTGGGTGGTTTGTTTGTTTGTTCGTTTTTTGTTTTTTGTTTTTTTTTTTTTTTTTTTTTTGGAGCACAGGAATTCTCTGTAAATCTGTCTTCACCTGGCTGTTCTTTCAGGCATTACTCATTTGTGGAAAGGAATATTTTCCCCTTAAAAAAAAAAACACAAAAAACAACAGATTTCCTCCACGAGAAGGAAATCTGTTGTGGTTTTTTTTTGTTTGTTTTCTGTAATTATTCTGTATTCTGTAATTATTCACTCTGTAATGTCAGACCAAAAGTTATTGGCTTCACTCACTTTTTTTCTCAGGAAGGAATCTAGAAGGCAAATACCTACAGAACCATTTATACCTCTGACATATGTGACTGCATCCTACCTACTGTTGTCTCCCACCTCACTTGTTGGGCAGCTGCAAGCTGCTGTCCTATGATACTTGATCTTACTGTTGGTTTTGTTGTTTTGTTTTCTTTTTCTAGGTTAACTCAGAGGACTCTTTCTTCCTCTCTTTTCCAAGCAGGAGTTTGAGATTGCCATCTTCTGTACCCTAAAAGTCTCAAAGATGTGGAAAACTTTCGCTCTTCTCACAGCATCTTATTCTCTGGCCTCAAATGTGCTGCAGCATCTGCAAAGTCTTCCTTGCAGGATTAGAAATAAGAACTCTGTGCCCTTGAAAGGAAGGAAGCTTCCTCAAAGCCCACAGGAGTTTCAGTTCGGACCCTGCAGCCTCTCCCTGGTGTTGAGATGATGGACTTAAAAAGTTTGAACATGAAGTTATAAGTGTTACATGGGCTCACTTCAGAAATTTTGGGGGCTGCTTGTGATGGCACAGTTGGACTGATGGTAACTGAAGCACAGACTTTGCGGGTGAAGGAATGTGAAAAACATCATTCATAAAATGAGACCATTTTACAGTGCTGTTTTTTTCTCTTACTCCCCTCAAGGATCAGATTCTGGTTTAAGGGAAGCCTATGGTAAAATCATAGCATTATAGAACCATAGAATGGCTTAGGTTGGAAGGCACCTTAAAGATCATCCAGTCCCAACCCTCTGCTGTGGGCTGGTTGCCCCCCACCAGCTCAAGCTGCCCATGGCCCCGTCCAGGGCCTTGGGCACCTCCAGGGATGGGGCACCCATAGCTCCCTGGGCAAAAATAGAGCTTCTCAGACAAGTACTCCAAAATGAGGCAATACCTATCTGATGGCCTCTTCTGCCCCAGTGTCTATTTACTGTGACAGTTTTTGGTTACATTCCAAGTAATATTTTGTATGTGAGCGCATACATGTCTCATGCCCACTTGCTTGCAACATCTGTCTTTAGCCTGTTACAATTTTTTGGGGCGTGTGTTAGTGAAATCAAAAGGTATGAAGAAATAAAGCAAGATGTATAAGAAGCCTCATGCTACAAGTAAGATCAGTAATGCTTAAATCTGATACAGGGCTTTTCCATGAAACTACAAAAGATTCTCAAACCTGCTTTCTTGCACTGTTTTATTCTCTGGCTATTTCCACAAACTTGTGAGAAACAGGCATTTGGAGTACTTTAAATGTTTCTCCAGCTCAAACAATTCTATGAATTCAGTGGGCGCTGGACTCATAATCTTCTAACAAAGTGGGACTCCTTTGCTCTTGGATATCTCAAGTTGGACACTCACAATTACCGTATGATTCTGACCTTAATCTCACTGTGCCCCAGTTTCCTGTCTGATCCCTTTATGACAAGGAAAAAGGCGGAAGTTCACTGATGCCTACCAAGCACCAGGAGATTAGTGAAGAGCACCATGAAGAAATTAATTCCTCCATACTTGAGTGGATTTTGGCTGGGGTCCCGGCAGTATGGCACAGGGCCACGTTGAATGAGAAGTGTGAAGGAGAAATACTGAGCATTCCATTCACTGAGAACCATCCGGAGTGCATCCTAGATGTACAGCATGCAGGAAGCCTGGATTCTTCCTGATTCCTGGGTGCTTGCCTCAGCTATCCACATCTGTCTGAATGCAGTATCTTCACGCAAGTTCTGCATCCCTGTGCTTTGTACTGCCAAAGATAGTAAGGGATGGGAGCTCCGTAACCTCTAGGTCAGGTTGTCAAGACTTACCTGTGCAACACAGCAGAGAATGAAGAATTCTCACTGGTGCCAAGTCAGATACCAGCAAGTACTTTGGCTCTGAATTTTTGTCAATATTTTCCATCAGTTTTTATTTTTATACCAAAGTAACAAGTTTTGTCAAGGTTGTATTGATTTCCTGTCTGTCAAACCAATTGTTCAAATTTTGAAAAGGGAACAAAACAAAAGATGGAGAAATAGGAAAGAAATTATAATGTAATCCCTCTCCCCACCTCTTTTTCCCCTCACAATTATTCTTTCTTGCTATTACTAGCTGTTAACTTGGCTATCATCAGCTGTTAAATACTCTACATGCAGAGGTATTTGCTCCTTTGTGAAGTCTGCAGTCCCAAAAAACAATGAAGGAATCCAGACACATCTTCTGGCTGCATCTACCATAAGCTCTGAGCTTAGATTTCATCTGAATGGTGAAGGTACAGAAGGGGCAAATTCTCGTGCAGCCAGCATGCCTCAGACCTCTCCCTCTGGCACCTGTTTGAGCCTCTATTTCAACAATATACCCATAGGTGATGAGATACTGGAAACCAAACATTGCTGGCTTTGGAGATCACTGTTGGTTGGTTCACATGCTTGAATGGCTCAGGCCATTGGGGCAGATAATCAGAGCTCAGTGTCTGACCTACACTTCTTCTAGGAGCCCCCTGAGTCCAAGGTGATGATTCTTCGTTCATAAATTTGTGGGAAATACATGCTGTGGAGAAGAACTGTTTTGGAAATATTTAGTACTCCCTGAAGTAAAATAACCCTGTCCTGTAGGTTCACATTCAAAGGATCAGCTCTTCTCCAGATGGACATGAGCTGTGCAGTGTGTGGCTGGCTGTGCTTTTGCTGTGTTTGTTGATCTGTGCACGTGGGGCATTGGGCTTTTTGTAGATGTAGTAGGTGAAACTGGGTAAAGCCCAGAGTATTGGACATGATGGAGACATTTAGGAGAAAGGGTCAACAAGAAAGGGGTTGATGTGTAAATAAAAAGGCGTGTGTCTAGAGCATGGGAGATTTCAAAACAAGGATGGGAATTGAGTACAAGAATTCAAATTGTGTGGAACAGAGGAAACAGGTGAGCAGAAGCCCCAGCAATGCTGTACAGAGAGGTCAGATGTGTGGTATTGCCTGTACACAGATATTTTCAATGCCTGTGGCTCATCTGGGTGGCATGAAGGTGCTGTCCACCCACCAGCCACCAAAGCCAGGTTTCCCTGTATGGGGCAGAGCTCAGCAGCAGGATCCTTCCACCCACTGTAGTGGAGATGCTCCTGTCTGCATTTGTTAAAATGAAAGCAGAACCAGATCTCAGCTGGCAGCAGCAGCACTCCTGGCTCTAGGACTAGAAGCGCTGCTCCTGCAGCAGCTCTTGGTGAAGCAGAGCTCTTCAGCTCTAAGCAGGGGTTGTGTGACCTCAGCACAACTTTCTGGACCAGGGCCTAAGTACGGGAAGGATGGGATGCTGGAGGCAGGCAGCAGAGTGCAGCACATCGGCCGTGCTCCTGCCCTGGCACGCATTGCCTAGGCAATCTAATAGCTACTTGCCATTGCCTTCTACGATCCTTCCTATACTGTAGTTGCATGCAAAGTGAGCAGAGGCAGAAGAAGTAGGTGGAGAAATTCCTTCCGGGATTTTGCTAACCATACCTTCAAGAGGCAATGTTCGAGCAGACCGTGGCTGGAGCAGGAGTCAGCGACAGCCGTACGGCGGTCAGCGCGCTATCTGCACTGACTCATCCGCTCCGCCGAGGCTCCAAAGCTGCCTCCCTCTGTCTCTCCCTCGCACCTGCTTTCCCTGGAAAATGGAGGAAGCCCCCAAAACTGGTTGATGGATTCATGCAAGGCTTTTTATACATTTCAATGCACACGATGATCAGTGGGCAAAACACACCCGGCTTCAATTTTGCGATAGAACATTTAATGATCCGTTTGCCCCCGCTGGGAACACGGGAACGCCGTCGTAAAAAAGCAATTTCCAGATGAAAATCTAGCGGTTTGACGTTCTCTCGCTTTCGGGCAAGGCACAACTTCCCAACGCTTCCTCGCAGACCGCATCTCACCCTCGGCAGGCAGCACTCCCGCGTGTGGGAGCCCCGCTCCGCTCCGCCCCCGCTGCCCGTCCTGGAGCGGCCCGGCTGGGCGGACGCGCAGGCGCAGGGGGGCGCGGGCGGCGGCGCTCGGCGGCGCCGTGCGCGGCGGGTCCCAGTCCGCGCTGCAGCCGCCGCGGGGGCGCCACTACCATGAGCGGCCGCGGCCGCCCCTGCGCGACTCACGGGCACCGGGCGCACCAGCCGCCGCCGGCCCCCCCCCGACGTCGCCGCCGCCGCCGCTGCAGCCGCGCACCCCCGGCCCCCGAGCCCGGCGCTGCAGGATGCCGGGGGGCAAGAGAGGGCTGGTGGCACCGCAGAACACCTTCCTGGAGAACATCGTCCGGCGCTCCAGCGGTGAGAAATCCCCTCCGTCCGTCCGTCCATTCATCCCTCCATCCCTCCGTCGGTCCGTGCCGGAGCGGCGCCTTCAAGGAACGGCTCCGCCCGCGCTCCTGCCCCGTCCCCCCTCACCTCCGACGTCTCCGCGCAGCGGGTTCGGAGCGGGTTTGCTAAGACCTTCCTGAATATAAGGACTCGTCGTTCGCGTTTCTGACATTCCCTCCACTCCTTCGGGTCGGGTTTTCCTTCTCTTTCTTCTTTAGTTCTCTAAGAATTAGCCTTGCGACCGTTTTCAAAGTCTTTTTGACACTTCAAAGTGCGTGGCAAAGGTGCTGAGGTGAGAGAGTGACTGCAATTTGGGGATGGTCATCCCGTACAAATCGGTGAAGAACCGCCGGCAGCTGCTCCTGTGCCCGGCGGATGCTCACGGCACTGATTTAGAGCTGCAGGAACGATTCCCTGCTGCCGGAGTTCGTTTCACCCTTTCAGTAAATTGCAAAGCAGTGGCAAAGAGCACTCTGCACAGCTCCGGTGAAGTTACTTAGTGGCTGTGGTCTGTCTCACAGAGTTGGGTTGATGGTTGGGTCGGTTGATCTTAGGGGTCTTTTCTGACCGTAGTGTTTGTGTGTTGGTGTAGGTGCTGCTTTGGCCAAGCCTTGTGCTGCTTGCATCCCTTTTCTAAGCTGTTTTTTGTTCTTTTTTTTTTTTTTTTTTTTTTTTCTTTACTGGCACTGCTGAAACACAAGTACTTGCACAAATGTCATTTGCTGAAAAGACTTTGCATCTTCTGAAAGGTTTCTTCTTGAAGAGCCCAAGCTTAGAGCAGCCTATGCATGGGAGTGAGAGAGGTGGGCAGAATGGGGCGTTGAAAAAAGTTCCCAGATATATTATTAATGGAGTCACTAGTGTGATGTGAAGTCCTGTTGGGAAGTGTTTCCTCCCACCTGGCTATTCCTCATCTCTGGATTTAGCTCACATTCATACTAATGTAGCCTGGTGTGCTGGATTGAGTCGATTTTGATGGTAAAGAATGAATTAGCGATTCATTGATTTCCATAGAAGGAGTGGATTGAGGACTTAGAATTTGTTTAAAGACATTGCCTGACAGCATTTTTTGAGGAGGTTCCCACCCTCTCCTGCTGCCCGCATCAGCTCTGTGGTCAGCAGCTGACTGTCAGGCTCTCTAGCTGCACATCACTGCAGGCTAATTTCCTGCAAAAGTGCATTATTTACCAGAATATTAAATGCAGGCTTTATTAATAGGGTTTTACATAGCACTTGCCTTCTGATAATTCCAAAGTGCCAAGTGGAGCTTAATTACACTCTTAAGCTCATTGAGGAAGAGGACACACAGAGGTGTTCCCCATGCATTCTTAAATCTGTGGCTCAGACACCACGGTTGTTGTCCCAGAGTCGGGCACAGCTGGGAGCAGGGTTTGGGAGCACCATGCTTCTGAGTCGTGCTCTAATTAAATCACATGTCCTCCCTGCTGAGGGCTCAGGCAAGCTATGAGATGTCAGGAAACAGGAAAACTCAGACAGCTTTGGAACATTATCCTTTAAGAAAACACCTATTCCTCCTGCCCAGATTTTAGACTGGCCTAATTTGGGAGCATAAATCATGCCAGTCTGGTCTCCATTCTGCTTTTTCTCTGCTGAAGCGTGATGTTACAGAGGCAAATCTGTCCCGTTGGACATCAGAGCAAAAAATGGATTGGGAATTTGTTTTTTAACTCATCTTAGCGATCAGTGTTGTGCACTGAAACATGATTTAGTTCTTATTTTTGTCATCCAGGTCACAGCCTTATTTGGCCTTTATAGAAATAGTAATTTTCATTGGATTCAGCTCTGCTTAATCCAAACTTAATGGTGTCCAGTAGAGCAAATCTGGTTCAAGTATCTTCTGCCGACGCTTGGTGGAAGGCACGGATTTGGGCTGCTGACCACGTCCAGGCTTTTCTTTTTATGCTTGGATTCACCAGCTCTGAAGGGGTTTTTCAATGTCAAGTTGAGGAAGAGGAGAAAGGAAAGACTGGTGGTAGATTTTTAAAACACATCTTGAGCATCCTCAAAAAAAACCTTTCCATCTTCTTTCCTGGTTAAAGAACACTCTCTTTTGAGATTGCTCGCACTCACACAATCCCATCACACTTGACCGTAAATCTTTTCTTAACATCCAGGGGAGGGCTTGTAGATGGAGATAATATCATCTTTTAGGCCAACGGATACAGCTGAAATATGAGTTATTTTGGCAGACGGGCTCTTCATCAGGGCTGAAATGGAACCGGTGGATTTCAAAATGAAACACAGGTGCAGACAAATTATTTGGAATTGGCAGAGATGGATCCAAACAAGAAAGCATTTATAGACAAAACTGCAGCAGTTTTAAAGCGTGGAACGTCAGAGGTTCCCAGCAGGAATCTAGTGTGGTGGGCAGCCTGGTGCAGAAAGCAGCCGTGTATTTGATTTTTCAGCCTTACTTTGGGATTTGCTTTTTAGGAATGTTGTGAACCTACAGCATTTGGTTACAAATGAGGTTAAAATTGGGGGAGAAATGCTCCCTGTGTGTGGTTGGCACAGCATCCGAGAGCCCTGCAGGAGATGGGGTCAGCATGGCTGTACAAAGGGACACAGACCCCCAGAGCACATAGAGCTATCTTCAGGGTAATCAGTGCGCTCTGTGCAAGGGTGTTTTACTTTCTTTTTTTCTAGCACAGTGAAAATGCACCAAGTAAAGCTCTTATCTGAGGCTCCCAAGGATTGATGGGATCTCGCAGCAGCTTTGGCTGCGCCCTGGGTCTGGAGAACACCAGTGTTCTGCTAAGCTGAAAGAAAATGTGTTTTGTGGGAGCAGTGCTTGAAATCGCATTAAGGTGACTGCTTGCTCCTGCCATTGGTGTTTTGGGCTTTTAATAAGCACCTTTCTTAGGGCAGGGTTCTTTCTTAAAATGTTCTCAGCAGATGCCTGTTATCACTGCTTTTGTTGGTTGCTCCTTCCGTGCTGGTGTTGACCTCGGCTCAGCAGTGTGGGTGCAGATTTGGGCAAATCCATGGAGCAGGGCTGGGCTTTGTGTGCTTATTCCAAAAATCCATCAGATCTCAGGGGCAGAGAGGTGTGGAAGGCGAAGACAGATGGACAAGACAGACACATCTTGTAGCAGCAAAAGCATCGAGCTTTTGCTTATGCCTATGCTGTGTTAATAGCATAATTTGTTTCTTTAGCAGAGGTTGAGTTTGGAAAAAGGTTAGCTCTGGGACTTTGTGGCCAAATGTAATAAAAGCGAAAACAATCTAGTGAAAGACAAATATGATAACAGTCATCATTATTCCTTTTTGTTTCTATTGCAATAACTGTTAGAAAAAGAAATTTCGTGTCTTTCAGAAATGTGTTTTGACTCTTGGGCTGAACTCATGGCTCTGTAAAGGTTATGGTGAAATTCCTTAATTGAGGTAGCATTCAGTTCCTGGCCTCTCACAGCCTAGAAACATGTTTCTGCACATCAGCTCCCTCAGACTGAGTTTTGTGCCCTGTTGGGTGCCTGTGAGTTTGATGAATAAGGGATCAGCCTGATCACAGGTTTTTGGATGCAGGTTGGAAGGGGCAACCTAATCTGGTGGGAACCAACCAGCCCATTGCAGGAGGTTGGAATTGGGTGGGCTTCAAGGTCCCTTCCAGCCCAAACCATTAATTCTGTGATCCAGGAAGAGAAGGCAAGTAAGTATCATGCATGTAGTGCTAAGACACTTTTTTCATTCTTATTAGAATGGTACTAATGGTAAAGTGTCTGCTGTCTCTCCCACTAGTCTGTACAGTGTATCATAGAATCGTAGAACGGCCTGGGTTGAAAAGGAGCACAGTGCTCATCCAGTTCCAACCCCCTGCTGTGTGCAGGGTCACCAACCAGCAGACCAGGCTGCCTGGAGCCACATCCAGCCTGGCCTTGAATGCCTCCAGGGATGGGGCATCCACAGCCTCCTTGGGCAGCCTGTTCCAGTGCCTCACCACCCTCTATCTATTCCTCCTAATATCTAACATAACCTCTCCTGTCTCAGTTTAAAACCATTCCTCCTTGTCCTATCACTATGCACCCTTGTAAGCATACCTGAATTCTTACAGGCACGATGACATAGTGTTGTTCTCACTGGACACGATACACGTAGGCTCTTTCCCAGATTAAATACAAGCTGCATTTTCATCTGATCCAAGTTAAATTTCATTTGGAGCAGAGAAAATGATCTTCAATGCGAATTACTTCAGGTTTACAGATGTCTGTTATTAGGGGTCTTCTGCAGTAAAAACCCTGGCCCTCAGCACTTACCTAAATTATAGAGTGCCTTGGGTTGGAAGGGACCTTAAAGATCATTGAGCTCCAGCTCCCTGCTACAGGCAGTGTTGCTGACCACTGGGTCACGCTGCCCAGGGCTCCATCCAACCCAGCCTTGAGGATGCTGTAAACCACAGGGCAGAAATTTCTATCTTCCAGTTCCATTGGCTGCAGGGATGTGGCTGAAGGGATGACCACAAATTTGTATTGTTGGGGTTTTCTTTGGCACAAGGCTGTGTTTGTGATTTCTTCGGCTGCAGGTGGCCTGCTGATACAGAAATCAATGCAAAGTAAGTTTATACATGAAGCAGCATTACTAGCTGACACTTGAGAGTAGTTTTCAATTGCCCTATTTCCGTAGAATCATTACGATTGGAAAAGACCTCTAAGATCACCTAGTCCAGCCATCTATCTATCACCAATACTGCCTACTAAGCTGTGTCCCAAAGCACTCCATCTGCCCTTTCCTTGAACACCTCTGGGGTCGGTGACTCCCCCACTTCCTTGTGCAGCCTATGCCAGTGCATCACTGCTCTTTCTGAGAAGCAGTTCTTCCTAATATCCAACCTGAACCTCCTCTGGCATAACTTGAGGCCGTTCTTTTTTGTTCCAAATCCTGAAACATAAGGCGTATCTGATGCCTGCTGAAACTGGCATCACTTTAAGTGGTTTAAATCTTGATTTTTATGT